GTCCTTCCTCAGGGGAAGGCAGCATCAGTGCTTCCATAAATATGGACATGCTGGTCGCCTAGGGGAAACACCTTACTGCCTTCACACTCCTGTCGCAGAGGACAGTACAACTTTACCCCCAGACCGCCTCGTATCACGGTTACTCGTAGTACGGGGTCTCGCTGCTCTTGGTCTGGCTGCTCCCCGTTGGCATTCCTGGCATGGTTGCACCTTGTGGGACGAAGTTCCAGCCAGTGTAGCCCGCGGGGTCATTGCGGCACTCAAACCCGACCACCACGTCAAGGTGGCAGCTTTAGGTTGGGTCGTTATTTGACACTGTTAATTGACACCCAAAACTGATCTAGTGCGCTAATATGGAGAGGTCTTACTGATTAGTTCTCCGTCTGCTTTAAAACCTGGCATATCTGGTGACCTGTTCACCTGACCTGATGAAGCTTTTGTGCCAAAAGTGAAACGCTGTCCAAATAAAAGCAACCAATTGTTTACCAAGCTCTTCTGGAACGAAAAGTGTTGACATGATTCGACATATTTCTTCTATCTGTTCTGATGAAGCTAGGAAATGGTCTTATTTAACGCCGTAGTTAATTTGGTAGAATGTTATAGCAAGCGTTACGAAGTGTTGTAGTATTTTTGTTTTCTGTGCTTAATTTGAAGTGGTTTAAGAGGGGGGGATTTTGTTTTACTGGAGGAATGAAGGAGGTCTAGCAACCTTAGCAACCTTCATTATTGTTTTTCCGAAATCCTACCCGCATGTGGCTCGAAACCCTACAAAATTCCTTTCAGAAAGTCTCAGGGACTCTTGTTTCCATATTCTATCGGAGTGGTCTGGCTTTTTTAAAAGCTTTTTAAAATTCCGCTCGGAGCTTGTTCAACAGCACTGCAAAGTTGGTTGTCCTGTCTTTTAAAACCGGGATTATGGTTTCAACCTAGGGTCTACATACCATTTCCGTTCCAGCATTCTGTTACCCCCTGCAAATGTCATTTACCCCCTTGAGACCCTTCCAAGAATAAACAAAATGGACTTGCTAGTTCTACTGTTGGCAACCCCAACGTTGAAACTGATGTCGTATTAAGGGAAAATAGCTCAGTATTTTGGATACTGACACGGCCGAGCAGCGGGTGGCCTATGCGCAGCAAATTCCGCCGAAGAATGCAATAAACTCACGTCAGCATTACCTCAGCGTGTAAGTCAGTGTTTAAATTCACAGCTCTAGAATCCTGTGTCGCGCACACGCGTGTCGACCACCCCCCGCTCGTATGTTTTGGCATCGACTGGATCACTTAGTTTCACGTAACAAGTGACCAGTGAGACCAGTCCTCTTTCCTTCCTGGTGCGATTATTCCGACAAGTTGACAAAAAGCTGGCCTCAGCAGTGTATATGCTTGTTCGTGAGTGATTTGGAACACCGGATACCGGACACACCAAGCGGGCGTGTTACCATCACCTCACCAGTGTACGTTGGACACGCCTGGTTTATCACACCTAAATGCGCGATTTCCTTACTTGAGCGTTGGTCTGACGACTTACTATGTTGTGCCGATCGATACCTCCCGGTCCAAAAAATCCTTATTTTTATTTAATACCTTACCCCATCACCTTCACCCAAGCAGCCTTCCTCCTGCCCTGGCACGATTATTAATCATGAGGGCAGACAAAAGAGTATAATGGTACAATTACCTTATCCTCCAGAATGATGTCGCAACTAACTGTTGTACGACGAAATCGAGACGTACCACCACCTGAGGTAAAATTAAGAAACCCTCGGAAGCCGATGGTCAAGTTTTAAATGTTTACCTCGGAAAGTCTCGAACCTCGCAGTCTTCTAAGTTGTTCGGAGGCCAGCCGTCCTTAATAACCGAACACCACATCATTTGTACGGATGTGTCACGTGCAGGACACGAACCAAACCAAGGCATGCCTTGATTGGTCAGAATGCCAGCCAATCCGACTCGAGCATCTCTAACTCGACGCTTCTCGCCCCCCTCACGGAGACTGGCACGACCTTGTGGAACACTGTGACTACCCTATAAATACAGTTGTAATGATTTTCCTTTGTCTCCATAGTGGGCTGTGTAGAGCTTTCGTGCCTTTTGATATACCATACTGGGCGGAGCAGGAAGCCAAGGGACCGATACAGAGTTGCACTACCGTTCAGCAAGAAACAACATAAGTATCGGACAATTTTGTAGTTTTTGTGTGACAAGAACCTCGTGTATGAGGACCGTTTTGTCACTGGTGGTCACAGAAAAATGGGTACCAGGCCAGACTAGTAAAGTGGATGTTTAACATTAGATTCCGATTAAACGCAATCTATCACAGTAAACGTGCCAAACATTAGCACTCGCCATCCACTTGAGGTCAAGCATCCGATCACGAAATCACTTAATGTGCCGATGTTCAGCCCGTATATCAAGGACCGACCCGTCAAAACCATTCGCATCTTTGAAATGTGCCAACTTCATTGTCTAGGCTACGCTATTTCTGAGCTCACTCTACTTCTACTTGTACAGTGTGGTGGTTTTAACCTTTTTTATTACTAGCATGTTGCTTGCAAAATAACTCACTAACTAAATGTTTGTGTATTTCTTTCACCAAAGTACCTACTTGAGATGAAACCATTGATTCTACCGACGGAACACATACTGAAGCGTGGCGATTCCGAGGCCATTGCCTATGCGTTTTTTCATTTAGCTCATTGGAAAGCAGTCGAAGGTGCGTTGAACCTACTCTACTGCACGTGGGAGGGAACCTTCCGGCTTATTCCTTATCCACTGGAGAAAGGTAACTTGTTCTACCCGTACCCACATTCAGCCACAGCGACAGACCGTGAACTGCTACCTAGTAAGTGCTTGTGTGTATTCTCGGTACATGATTTCTCTCTATTCTTCCTGTCAGTCCAACACGCGTCGCTGCGCTAATCTGTTTGAAGTCGGTTGCATTCTTAAATCAGTGTGCCTTGGAAACATCTGCTCTACGTGCTCCTGCATTCTTTACCACCGTTGGGTCACTGAGATGGTTGTTCTTATCAGAAAACCTGGCAGTTTATGAATGAGCAGTCAATTTATTTTTCTCAGCATCTCAAGGTCTTCATGGGGTACCCCGTATGTGTCACATATTGGGCACAGTATTTTCGTCTGCGTAGATTGTTCAATTACGAGTGGTTTTGGGATTTGGAAAATTTGCATTCGGGTCACTCAAACACTCCTCCTGTCGTCCTAGCATAGTTATTCCGGAGAGCCCACACCAAAGGGGTGGGAAAACACTGAACTCGAATGAAGTGAATTCTACAAATCTTGCAACCAACCACAACTAACCAAGCATCATTCGCTAGGTTTCGAGTATCCGTGACTACGTGACTGGGAAGTCCTAACAGGCGAGTTGATCGATCGGCACAACCCGGACAACTGTTGGATCGTCGCTCGGGGTTCGATTCCCAGCGTGGCTGGGGATACGCACTACTGTTAAGCTCTTATAAGAGCTAAAGTTGAATCCAATTCTTCACCCGCGAGAACACTTGTGCCAGGAGTGGTGTGAATGGAATGGTTGTATTGATTTTAGGACTATCACGTTCTCATCCTCTACTTCCGGTAAGACAAAAGTTTGATTTGTCATGGTACTAATAACTAAGATGAACAAGGTAGTTATTCGGACAAATATATATATATATATATATATATATATATATATATATAATGACGCCAATACGCAGTAAGTACCAATCGGTACGCACTATTTTCTCAAATGGAACTGCCAATTTTTCTTATTACGAGAGGGCATGAGATACGTACACATGGATTCGTTTTCCTTTTCTTTCCAGGTTTTCACAACATTTCAGTCTATCCTAAAAAGGAGGTCCCATTCTTTATCTTATTCACTGCCGCTTTGTGTTCACTGACTGCAGTTCTCGCCTGCCTGACACATGTCTACCCGGAACACATGGGAATGCTATCTAAAAAGGTGTGTATTACCTCCTGTATATTATTCTATCGCGCACACGACACCATTAGGACCACCGGATATTTTTACAAATCGTTGTCTCTAAGCTTAGGATTGCCGAGCTCCAAATGAGCCTTCGCAAGCGCATGTATTTACCGGACACATGCGAACTGTGGAGATTAAATTTTGGAACCTGCAACAGTACTGCACAGTATGCTAAGGGGTTCGAAGCATTATTACTAACAAAACAAGCTGCTCTGCCAGCAGCCTGAAACGTTGTACCCGCGCTCCTAACTCTTCAGTCTACAGTCCAAGGTTCATGCGGATCGTTCCACTGCTATCCGGTAAGTCAAGGTGGTCGGCAGAATGGACGCCACAACAGTCACACAGAGGTCAGGTACTGATTTGAGGAGATGGGGAATGCTTTCCATGGTGAACGCAGGGATCAAAACCCACGACGAACTTTGAAGTTTCTTGGCTAAGCGGGCTCATAAGAAGTAGGGAAGAGTGAAACTATGCAACCAAATGGGCACTAGACGGATTCAAAGAGAGTTTTTTCACTGAATAGATGACAAGCAGTATGCTTAAGTGGTATTTTCAGGAGACAGAAATTATATTCTGATTTGAACCATCAAAATCACTTGGACCTATTCCGCGTACGGGTATTTATTCAAGGTTTCCACCAATTCAACGCACTTCTTTATCAATCAATATCCTCCTATCCTCATAAACCTGCCAAACAAATGCAGTGCTCAACATCCAGGATTTACCCAGGCTTTCTCAGATGGGTTTGTACACGGCTTTCACGTTGGGCAACACATGTGGCTCCATCACGCTTTGAACTGCATCCGAACTTTATCGACTATCTCAAGACTATAACTTTAAATGGGGAAGTAGCTTGGATAAGAGATGTGGACTATCACTGTAGTTTGGTTGGCTTGACGAAATCAGTAGTGACCTTCAACGAGTACAGAGTACACGACTCCAAAGGCTCGTGAAGCTTACTTTCTTGTTTCTACCATTGTTTACTCAGGTTTTACACATACATACATACTCGCGCACTGAATAACTTGGTATCCTCCAACCGTCGAAATCTATATAATCCCAAAGTTGCATACACCACTTTGACTACATTTCCACATGTTTGACTTTCATATGTTCTGCAAGACCTCGTGAGGTTTCGGTACGTTCTGTAAGACCGTATTCGCTGCGTGTGTTAACTAAGTAGAAGAATCGATGACCCACCTATTGTTCCTCTTCACTTCAGACGATTCTGTGGTTCTTCAGTCCGATAAACTACATGCTGGACAAGCTCGAGAGCTTCCTATTGTTCATATCACCCAGCTCACCTCGGAAGCACTGACCTCAGTGCGACAGGTCGCAGCAATCTTGTGTTTGTGTACGCTTTCTCTGTTTGTCCAACGTACTGTACCCGGGACTATCAGCATTAGGTCTATTTTTGTTGAACATCCTCAACGGAACTGCATTTTTTACCACCAACCCTTTCTGTCCTAAAGACAGCCAGAGATCTTGTGTTCAATTTAGTCCTGTTTGTTCTGTTTTTCTTCTCTCTCTCTCCCGATTAACTATGGCTATAAACAGCAAAACGACATTGTGTTTATCGTCCAGCATACAGCCAGACCGAAGATATCGAAGTCCATTTTAAATGAGCTTTGTTGTATCCTCGTTCTCAGTTTCTCTGCTATGTGCTGACGTTCTTTACAAAACAGTACATCTTACACAACGCAGTTTGTCAGCTTGGTAATCGGTCAGTGGGAAGGTGATATTTGTAGGTTATGTAAATAAAGGGCGTGATCGCTTCACCCGGATGGGGGAGATTGTATTGTGTTCCATTCTTCCTCGGTGAACCCCAGCATTGCCGGTTCCTCGGGTGCCATCAGGTTATGCTCGGAGCGGCATTTTAAGTATGCAGCTGCCTGTGGTCGACAAATGGAATTGTTGTTCTTGTTTTTAACAATGCACTCTGCCCATTGGTTCATGAATGTCTTGCACCAGCCCTTCCGGTCCAATGGAAAGCTTCCCTTCATTGGTGGAGTAACACGAAGCGGATTGTGTGTGAATGTGGCAGAGTTGGCCATCGTAATCGAAACCTGTGATGCTGAAATAAGAAAACGATGTGGTTAGATTTTCGTTTGATTAACTGAATAACTAGGCGATTGGAAGCACTCTTAGTGTACCCAGAGTTCTATTCCCAGAAGGATGCGCAGACGTCAAAGATTGACCGCTATTTACACTTGTATTCACTTTTATAGGTATTTTGGATCTCCAATGGGGACGGGGGACCCTTTCTTTCGACCATCGATGTGCGCCGCGGATTGGAAAATCTGTATAGCTATACTCTAGCAGCCAACATCCTCAGAACCGAGGAGGATAGTTTAGTTTTTCTAGCTTTCCGTTTTTCAGATCAGGAACTTCGGTTCACTCAACTCCAAAGTAGCATCAATACAAAAACCTGAGGAGGATAAACTGAAAAGATTGTTGTCCAACTATTGCAATAGTTCGTAACTAGCTTTGACGTTTTCACAACCACGAAGGATTTCTTTCCAGAGTCAATCTAAGTTTCACCTGAATTCTTTTTATTTTCCACCCTATCGATTCCCCGATGTTGTTGGCACTTGAGAGATTTGTACTTATGCAGATCCTCTCTAAACAATGTAATTGATAACCGAAGCGCTGCATGCCAGTAAAATTGCCATCTTTTTATGGCCACCAGTATCTATTAAGTTTATTTGATGAAGCGTGAACTGTGGATCCGAATAGCTTCCGACAACCGTCCGGCTACAGCTTTTCTTTGAACTTGAGTAGATTCTCCGGTAAGACCGCGAGACTTCAATTGATGGTGGTTCTTAAACTTTTATTTGTCCTTATCCGTTTTTGACTTGCAATTATTCTGACCTCCTTTAGATGGCATATTCTGTCTAAGTATGGCTTTCAGATTTGCTTCCATATAACATTTCTATGTACATCTGTCATTCTCACTCCGAAATCGATGGCCCGAGACAGCTTAAGCATTCGGCCGTGGTCTACAACCCAAATGGTTCATAGTTCCGATCTAATCATGCCATTCCGAGCTCTCCTGGCTAAACTTGATAACAGCTCCACCCTTGTTCATCCCTTAGTTTGATCGGGATAAGTAGAGCCTGCTCGAGATGAAGTTCGGCTATCTGGGCACATATTGATCACAACCTGTTAACTAATGTCCTAATACTTTCAAAACTTACTAGTTCTGAGTGACAGTCGCCGGATATCTAGTCGTGTCAGTGATAGAACTGAACAATTTCATTTCAGTTGCCCGCAAACCAAAATAGTGCATACTTGTTTGAAGAATAGTTTCTGGGTAACTTTGGGCCATAAAAGAAAGTTTCAACCTGTTCACACTTACAGACGTGCACAAGACTCATGACACCGGCGTTTCAGTACTGAGAACTAACTAAGGAACATTGCCGGGCCAGGCTATTAGTTGCGATGACTTATGCAGATTAATGGTCACTCAGCTTCATGCTAACGAGGGGAACAGTTATAGCCCAGCAATATAACCTAACCATAAAGTACCACACTATGCAGTTTTTGCTAAGGTTATCCTCCTTGGAAGAGACCAACCAACTTTGTTATTGGAAAACGAATCAAGGGTCTAACCAGGAGTTCTATTTTGAGGATCACCAATATCTGGCGGTATTCTTTTTGGTTTCCCGTAAAATGTTGAGAAACCCGTTGTTCGTGTTATGGGCTAACCCCAGTGTCCATTTGTTCTTAACTAGTAGTCAGGTGGAGTCCGGTTAGCGTTCCAACATCTCTCTGGCCCTGGATGCCGATTTCGGCACTCCACCGGCAATTTCATGTTGGGCGCCTGTTCCTACTCGAATGAACGCCTAATTTCACACTGTACCCAATCGAGTACACGACTCGCACTCACAGTAAGGAAAGCACCTGATAAAGTAGGTTGTTTCTCAGGTCCCTTGTTGATTAAGCAACTAAATAGATAGTGACAATTAGATACTCATTCCTTCGGGAAGGATTTCCCTTGATAGAGAGGATCAGTAGAAATTCTGTTGTACACCTTACGTACAGGAGTAGTGGATGATGCAGGACGTCAATACTGCATGGGAGTGCAGCATTAGTGTCAACACTAATATGGCCGTCTCTGATGATGATGTTTTCAATACTTTTACCTACCCGTACGTGACCTGCACACTAGTACAACATGGTAAACAGTAACAGTCGTCGGCACTTATCATTCAGATCGGGAACAACGTAGAGGAAGATTTCACCCCGTCAGTCTGCGGTGAAAAGTCGAGAAGAACTGTACAGCTCTCTCATTCTTGTTGGGAATCATTAGCATTGTGTAACTAGGGAAACAGAAAGTTCCGAACCAGCGACCTTCCGACCAGTAGTTGGACAAATGGCCGTTGGGCCACGAGTGCCTGATCAAAAGTGTGACTAACTCGCACCAAGACAGGATGTAACGCCTCGGAAGCCATACTATGTGGTCACCTTTTGACCGGCTCGTCGGGTGACAACTTTTCAGATGGCGCCTCCACACATCCAATGAAATTATCCTCTATCTGATCTGCTTATTGATTTATAGTGATGTGGAGATATTTGATAATCAATAGAGATATCCTATCAGTGAAGTTAGTCTATGCTGTTTCATCTTTACTAGGAATAACTAGCAGTACACACTCCATGGAGTCTAGAACTCGCGACCTTTCGACTAGTATTTCTAACATTTAACCATGTGACCACGAGCGGCTGATCAGCGGTGTGATTAGTTTTCATTAGACAAGACAGCACCGCTCATCCTTCAATCACGGAAAGCATATCACGTATTGACTGGATCCTCGAGTGACAGCTTCTCAGAGGGAGGTTTCACATCTTACGAAATTATTCCTCCTCTCGGCTACTCATGGACTGATAGTGGCCTATTTCACCTACGTCATGTGAGAACCAACAAGTCAACTGATTTGTCAGGATGACATTCTTGCACACAACGTAGACACCACTGGTTATTGGGAATTCGATAAACATCGGGTTTTCGCATGTTGCCTCATCTTGCCATTCAGCTGCGTTACTTCCATTCGATATTACAAACGGGCACAATGCAACAAATAGCATTGTGCAAATGCAAGACTTAATTCCCGATTATCCAAAACAAGGGCGGTTCACCGGTCTGGCACTATAGTGAGGCAGTTGTAACCATGACAACCTGTTCGGTGTGAGCCCATCAACATGCCCAGGGTTCTCCACTCCTTTGTTCCATGTTGGAAAATAACTCATGCATTCGAAGAACCAAAAGGTGTCATCCATTCTTGGGAGAGTTGCTTCCTCGAGAGGATCTGCAGTGGGAAAATCTGCGTCTTCAAATCCGTCCCATCGATGGAATTGTTTTAACCTGGAAAGTTATGTCAAGAAAAGAGGGGCAGAGTATCTGAAGCATGTGATTAACCATTTCAGTTTGGTTTGTAGAGTGAAGAACGACACTTGCTTTGCCGAAGTTCTTATGGTTTTGAGGTGTTTGGAGCTCACTTCAACGAGTGCTTGCATAATAGTTCTGCCTGCAATAGAAGAAATCAATATACTGGCAAGATGGGTCGATTTATAAATCCAGATCAAGCGCAATTTGTGTCACCAAGGAAGTCTCTAAAACCACGAGATTCGGGAATGGCCGTCTGGTGTTAGCGTTCGTTCAGCTGGATCGAACCAGACCGCTTTACGTCTACTAAATTAGGTAGAGAAAAGTTTACACCTGAGCTTGAGAGACGTAACGTGTGTACAAATACGCTAGGCTCTTTGGAGATACACCGAAAACTATTCACTTAAAAGGTGTGGTGGCCCTGTCTCCAGAAGGAATATTTGGTGATACGTATCAAGTCGTCCACGCCAGAGGTAGATTAGCTTTCGTGCAGAATTTTACGAGTACGTTGGTTTGATTTCCCTAAAAAACTGGTGTAACCGGACTGTCGTATGTGAGTTTTGATTCGATACCATGACTTCGCACTATGCAGTCACGTTCGCTGCCTAAAAATATGGTTCAGCGCTACATAAAATTGCTTCTTATTCAATGTTGGGCGCATACAACCTCCGTGTTTAGTGGTAGATTCATCAAGACTACCCTTTCAATTTCGTCATCAGCATCATCAAAGACAACAACATTAACGTTGAGACTGGACTGGCGGTTTTACCCAATTCATCATCATGAATTGAACACTTGGTATCTTGATATCGGAATAGTACCTAGAGGAAGACAGTTAGGCTTTTCTATAGAGGAGGATGTCGGTAGCTCAGGTAGCGTAGACGGTCGTTGGCTTGTTCGCTGAGCTGGGCAATTTGGTTGCAAACGTTTCATCACCAATTGAGGTGATATCATCAGTGCGTAGTTGTGCGTAGTGGTGGCTTAGTGGTTGTGCACAACCATGTCGTGTACAGTACGAGCTGTTTTGTTGTATGGCTGTGAGACTTGGCCTATTCGAGCAGCGGACCTGAGACATCTTCAGGTGTTCGACAATCGTTGTCTCAGAACCATAGCTCGTGTGGGTTGGTGTCAGCGAATCCGTAACGAGGCAGTTAGAAAGCGTGTTTTCGGTTGTGTAACGGGTACTTCCATTGAAGAATGTGTCCAGCACCAGAAGCTGCGTTGGTTGCGACATGTTTTACGCATGCCGAATCATCGTTTACCGAAAAGAGTACTATTTTCTATACCCAATTCGGAGTGGCGTAAACAGAGAGGTGGCCAACCCATGACCTGGCAGAGGAGTATGAAGCAGATGACGAAACGCTTGGGTGCTGTCGGTGCTACTCGCCTTCCAGGATGAGGACCGCGTGATCCGCGTTCCTGTTGTCAGTTTCTGTCCAGATTGCCTGAGTAAATGTCTGGAGGCGTAGGCACCTTGGAATGATTGTGTTAAGCTAGCAATAAGTCCCTCCCCCATCCATCTTTATTCTTTTCTTTACAATAAGGCTTTCAAATAAGTCATGGTTGTACGGCAGTGAAGCATTGGTGTTGTACACTGATGTCATGCTGTCGATGATGATGATGATGAACTTCGCCGGATAGCAGGCACTGACTGACTCCAGCGTGTTCGCACTGTAGTGGGACTTAAGCGAGTACTTGGTAGTGAATCAGAACCACTTGATCATCAAATAAGGCTGATCAGGCTAAGGTGGTTCAGTACGGTACAAAGATTTCCCAACTAATGGCTGCCAAAGAAACCGAAATCTTATTTAAGAAGGGTTTGTCGGTGACAAGCTATAGTAGGGCGATTAGCTATGAAAAAGGCTACTGTCAAAGTGAACACAAAGGGATTTTCGAGCCTTCTTGGTAGGTGGAGTGACTCTCCACACGCAGGAAATGGCACGCGGTGAGCACACCATCAGTTCCAAGTATAACCACCTAGCTAAAGTTTGCCTATCGTCATATGATGGAATCTGTCGGATGGAGTTCGTAACAAATGTTTTGGTAACCCCATTGATATCTTACTCGAATATGGTGTACAGGTGCGCTTACTTGGCTCTTGTTCTCAGCTGACAGGAGGCCCAGAGGGTCCATTCGTTCGGCATCAAGCTTGCTGAGCGGAAGTTCCGTGGTTTGAATCTAACATCATCATCTTGAATGCCCTTGTCTAGGCCAGCAGGATCTCAGTCCCCGTGCTTCTCTCGGGTGACATGACAGCTAGTTAGCGAAATAGTGCTATAATTGAACGATTGTATAATGTAATGTGTTGTTCTTGGTCGATTTCCCTAAAGGCATAAGACAGCTTTGACTAAGCCTTCCGCCCTATTTTCTGCACCTTACTGTTGCATTCGTCCGTCATAGACGTATCGAAGTATTCACTACTGAAGTATTGCTGTTGATGATACTGAGATTACTTCGCCTACAGGACTTGGAAAATGATTCTCCGGAAATGGTATGCTGGTGGTTGCACAGTAGCTGCCTCACAAGTAGTGCCACTAACAAAGCACCGAGTGACGTTGCTCGGCCAAAAAACAAGCAGCCTACCCTTGTCTATCACTTTATTGAACATAACTGTCCGGAAGTCAGAGAAAAATTGAGAACAGCGTTGGCTCTGAACTGCAAGAGGATTGCGATCTGAAGAAGTGACGCACAGATCGACACTGAGGTATAAGGGGACCAACCATCGCGAGATTCAGTGTGTCTAGGATCATTCTGGGGAAAACAAGCTATCGCCTATAATCGAAAAAATGACAATCGAGAAACTCCTGAAATGAAATATGCTAACATACTGGTGCCAATCCCCGACAAGAAAATAAATAATGCAGATAACAAAATCGAAATTCTGCTGACCATCGGTTATACAGTGATACACATGCCGTCAGTAACAAGAACTCGAAGCACAACTGGCCTAAATATAGACTTTATTCACCAAAATACTGTACGTCCAATAGATAAAACCGAATATATACAAACTGAGAGACCGACCCAAGATTGCCGTCTTTTATCACCGTATGTTGGAGCGATTCCGTAGGACACGTGAGTACTTTTCCTTTTCTTTTTCGCTGGAATAGTACGGAACAAAAACACCCGTCCGAGGAATCGTGATACATTTGTGGAAAAGTTAGGTGGAGGTACGAACGAAACGAGATAAGATACCCAGATCGACTGGCTGAGATTCGAGATCTTAGGAAGTACGGGGTGCACAGAAAACGAATAAAACATAGGACTGGGAAAAGCTTAACACCGTTTGAGGAAAACTCGATCAGTCCACCGATTGTGTATCACATCAATCCTGACCGGATAATGATCAGACTATCGAGAATCTGAGGAAGTAAGGCGGAGGTAAATCCGGAAAACAGGCTCGTTTCAGCTAATTCTGTCGCATAAAAAGCACTGCGAAAGACGTGGCACATGTGAATGAAGTGATGCGGAAACAACTATCCACGGAGTTTTGTTGGTACACCACCACAACAAGAACCAAGAGCAGGAAACTGAATACAGCTAGCGTCGAGAAGTGGCTCATACGACTAAGCATGACAGTGGGAATCGGAAAAATCCACCGTGGTGACTGGAATGGTTAATCGAGATAGCTAGAAACAGCGCGCACTAACTGACAGGAGGGTCCATGGTTCAAAACCAACACTGGCATCCAGACTGCTCCGGTCTAGTTTTGGGCAACGTGGCAGTATCCCAGCCCTCGTGCTTCCTTCGGGTAGCATGGCAGCTAAGCACTAGAAGGGTATCACAGCTGAACAGTTATTATTATTTTTCAACATTCGAGTTGCTTTCTTAGCTAACTTCTACGCAGCACTGGATATATGGTCCAGAACATCCTATTTGTGGCAGTGATTCCGCGGTGGTAGTTGAGATATCAAAAGTAAGTAGAATGTCACCTCTCAGATGGTGTGGTAATTATGTGATTTTGCTGGATCCCTCCATTCGGAGGTACTGTTTCATTCTATATGTATTACATTGGGATTTCGCCCTGTAAGTGAAGTTTATCTAGGCTGAGAAGCGGAGAGGTAGCGTACAGCTGTTTCATCCTTGTTAAGAATCATAACCAGTGTGCATCCCATGAAATTCCAGGGAGTTCCGAACCAGCAACCTCGCACCTAGTGATTTGGAAACTTAAACGCTTGGCCAACTACACTACGTCCGAGCTCACACTACGATCAATCTACAGGTGCCTGAGAATAAGAATAAATTCACAAGACAAGTGAAACTTCCAGTTGAGAAGTATTCACTCGAGAAGCCAGTCAACACGGGACCGCGTATGTGGTTTCGGTGACTGAAGGATGAGTGGCGTTGTATTCTGTTTAAGTGCGAGTTAGTCACAGTGCTGATCCCGCGTATGTTCGGTGACTGAAGGATGAGTGGCGTTGTATTCTGTTTAAGTGCGAGTTAGTCACAGTGCTGATCGGCTGGTCGTGGTCACATGGTTAAGTGTTAGAGCTATTAGTCGGAAGGCCACGAGTTCGATACTCCCTGGAGTCTCGTGAGAGGTGCACTGCTGGTGAAACAACTGTATAGTGCTTTTGATCTTTTCAGCGTAGGTTGGCTACACTTGCAAAACGAAATCTCAATGGAAAATTCCCATATCTCATCTCACTACCATCCACGGAATACTTGTTCGCCGTTAATAAACACCGTCCACCACTTTACTAACAGATTCTCAATGTAACCGCGCACATACGATCCACTCAGTGCTCTCTTACTCGGTCATTCACTTCTTCAGGTCAGACTGGTATGATCGTGTAGTGTCACGCTCTTATCCACCCCCTGTTGGTTTTGCTATCTGTGCTACCCACGTGACGCATGTAAAAAATCTTTAGTTGTAACACCTTTCGGCGCCTAGCGGCCACGCCACCCGAAGAAAGCACGATGGCTGACATACTGCCAGGTTTGCCCAAGCCTAGACAGAGGAAGTCGAGATGCAGACGTAAGGTCAGTACCACGGACCTTCTTGCCAGTAATTGCTCTATCTAACCTCTGAGCTATCTCGTCATGAACGTATCTAAGCTCTTTAGGGTCGACAGGCGTGTATCGAGCGAAACGTCAATTCCAATGATCTACACTGGCAGTGGTTGATTGTCGGACACAGATGTTTATACGACGCATCACTGTCAATGACTAACCATCTTGTATCTATTCCGTTTTGTCAACGGTACAAATTAAGCTAACCATCATACTACTAGAACTCATGCAGAGTAGTAGCGTGCGGAGACTTTCAAGCAGCAAGCATTGTCGGTTGGGTTTTCTGTTGCATCGAAACTCGCGGCTTCGTTACGGCTGCCGCCTGTAACTGAATCACAATAAAGGCAGGATAGCTTTGATAATGCCGACCAGTCAATCGCCGAGAACATCACGCGGAATGATGTTAGGCTGAAAATTAGACAGCTCCACAAGTCCCCTGCATGCAAGCCATCCAACGGAAATATGGAAGAAAAGGGAAAGAAAGGAGCGAATCGTCACAACATTCTAACAACACGGAATTTGTATGGTCAATTTTGAAGCTGACCTAAGTGTCATCATCCGCTTTTTTGGCCCTTATTTGAAAATATCAAAAGTCCTCTTGAGTAATACTCAACCGTTTCGGTAGTAGATGAACAGGATAAGCTAACCCTTATCAAGACATACTCATGGTGTATACAAATGATGCACGAGAAGAAAAACAAACTTACTCAAAACTACCGGAAACAAACAGTGGACCTGAAAAGCAAAAGAATACTTTTTGAGTCCATTGGTCCGTTTATGAGCATGATCGCTGGGTTAGGACACGTTGTGGTTACTTACGTAAGACCTCCAGAACGCTTGCAGCTAAAAAGTAGGAGCGAGCTTGTGAAGCCATGAACTTTTGTCCTAGCGGCCTGGACGAAGCTTCATGCTTGAATAAACGGTAAAACGATCCAGTATTTCACATAAGATGTTTCGATTGATTCAACATGATAGCCCTACGGGACCCTAAGTGTCCCAACATCAATTTGTACGTGACTCGGTGAGAATTTGCGATTTCCCACGGAATATTCAACTTCTGATATGAAACTACTTTGGACGACTTCATAACTCTATCGATACACCTACTACTTTGACGGTTGCATTCATATATTAAGCAAAGATACCTGGACTGCTTGCCATGAAAAAATGATGCCTCCAATATCAAAGATAATTCTCGGTCGCCGTGTCACCGACTTGGTTAAGGTTTGATATGAGAGGTGTAAAGCATCACAAAGGAATGTAGATCGTGCACATGATAGGTGTTAGAGTTATATCAGAGACAGTTTGAGGAAAACCGTACCGGTAATCGGCCAGGATTGCCTAACAGAAGTGTTCAAGTCACGTGAGAAAGCGTACACAAATCATGAGATAGACCTTACGACTACGTTGAATAGTTAGAATATCGATGTAGATTCTGTTAGGCGGAACTCCATACGGACCCCTCTTTACCGCTCGCAATCAAGTGCTGCTACGGCCGAGAAGTCCATCCTACGCAAGATTGGCCAAGAATTCGGGAGGACTGCCGGTCCGGCATCAAGACGAGATCTGGACCCAACAGCCAATCACGTCCCAGTATTGGCCGAATGCCGGTTGCCAATGGCGCATCCAGAGCACGTCAGAATTTCCAGAAAGTTATTGCCGCCTACGCTATGTATACGAAGCGCTGTACAAGTGTTCCTGACTTTGTTTTGGGCGTTAGTATACTTTGTGCGCCCTTGGTGGTTGTTTTAACGTGAACGCTAGCTGGGGAGGTTCAGACCGAGAAATAAGCTGGGAAAAACACCCTTATTACAGATTCCTCCCTATAAACAATCAAACCAGATCCGCGAGATGAAACAATTGCTGATGTCAAAAAAGCTCAATCAGCCTTCCCATAGATCAATGCAGAAAACGCCGATGTCGGGTTTCTGACAAGACAAACTTAAAAATAACCCACTACTTTCTAAGTTAAAGCTATCGAATGTGTTTGAAATGAGGCAATTATCAGTAACGAAGGGCACCGTTCATTAAACACAAAAGCGATCGGAAAACTAAGGTCGTATTTAACAGGTACGGCCTTTCATGCCCACAAAAATGTTCAAACTTTGGAAGTAACCTTTTAAAAAAGTTCACACAGCAAGAGTGAAAACAATTAGTTTAATTCGCAAGGGGAAACTGACTTCTGGTAGACCAGCTACGACAAGCAGACCTCAACCGCGGGACTGGGGTTGAATCTTCCGTTATCATGTTGTCCAACGACATGCGGCAAGTTGGAGTAGAAATAACGGTCGCGCAGTTTGGAGTGGATAGACGTCCAGTCACTCTTCCAGTAGACCGGTTCTTCGGCACACACGAAGTTGTAACCATGTCTGTAGTGGGAGAAAAATTCTCCTTGCCCTCTGAAGATTGTTGCCGGAGTGATGTGAGAAAATCCCGGTAGAACTGGGAATCCCGAAATCGAGGAAACGGGTCCATCTTCATTATCTGATAAACCTGAAGTGAGGAGGGAATCCAAAATGCGGGTTCTGACCAAGGAACAAGATGAATATGTAAAAAGAATGAACAGACAGAACCCATTCTATCAGCATAAGCCGGAAACCAGCTAAAAATTCATCAAGGAAAAATCACAACAGAGCCAGCGAGTGTGTAGATCACATTTGGTAAGCTGAGCTTCAGGAGGTGAGGAGACAAATGATGGTAAAAAAAGGCAGTTCTGTGTCACGTACACGACAACGAACAATAGTCCTTCACTGCTACCAAGAAGTCCACACTCCGTAAAGCAACAACATAAATCTTCTAGAAGAATTCATGGAACTTTTCGGTATACATTCAGCGACACGCAAACGGTAGCGTAACATCACAATTGAACACTGATGTTATGCTGATGATGATATGCAATCAAACACGATCCGCTAATATCATCGTCGACAGCACGAATCAGTGTTTCACACTGAGATTTCGCTGACGTACAACCATGATTTATTTGAAAACCATATTGTGGAGAAAAGGAGAAAAGTGGTTGGTTGGTAATTGACCCTTTGGTAGCCACCACCCAGCCCACAATCCTTCCGAAGTGCCTAAACTTTAGACACTCATTTAGACATTGGATAGAAACAGACAACAAGAATACTATCGACATCGATTAGCAACCGTAGCTTGCGGCGCCTTTAGTCATACAAAAAAGGGATCACCCGGGCTCCATTCTGGAATGCAAGTCGCGCCGACAGTACCCGGACTTTCCGTAATCGCTATCATACTCTTTTGCGCCACTCTTAATCGTGTAGAAAAATAGCATTGTCTTTGGCTAATGATGGTTCGGCGTGCACAATACATGGCCTAACTAACATTTGTGGATGGACTGAAGAGAGAAATCATGGCTGTATGGTGAAAACCAATGATAAAACTCTGGCGTTTTAATTAGCTGCAAAAGTTTAACTGGGAATAATAACGCCCTGAAATGCGCCTGATTATGGGCCCGCTTCGAATTATTCTACCAACATTTTGAACTCTTTCAGCGGGCAATATGTCCCTGAAAATAAAAAGTGACCATATCGTAGCGACTGAAACATGAGGCGGCCTGGTGCAGCACATTCAGTTGCCTGAGAACATCATAAACGAAAGATTCAGCTGGGTTCCAGGTGAGTCTCTCCAAAAAACCAAATTAGTTTGCAAATGAGTGTATATTCGCTAATTTCGTGCAATTTGGTTTCAAGTAGAACATAAGGTTGACGGAAACCCGGGGACTGCGCCTACCTGATGAGCCCCAAAAAGGGCGAAACCGGTCGTGGGCTGTCGACGGATTTTCAACAACCTTATCAGTACATTACAAAGATATACATGACCATAATCTCAGTGGACGCTGCCTTAGCGACAGAAGCTTTGAGTCAGACAGAGGGATGAATCACTTAGGACGAGTAGCCTCAGTGGTGTTTTGCACTATAAGTTGGCCGCAGTAAGGCAATACAAAACAGAAAAAATTGAGAAGGCACATATCGTGCAACAATAGGAGTGTCAGTAATGGGGTGTTGTTATGCTGATGTGTGACAATCAGAAAAAGCCTCCGACCCACCTGCCTTTCGGCTTGCGCAAACATGTCAACGTGTGGACAAGACAGCTGATTTGAGGCCTGCTTGACAGCATCTTGGTCGATGTTGACCGCACATGAAGAATTGGGGTCGATAAACGTATTGAATATTGTCTTGGCTGCTGAATTACATGTCTGTAATACAGAAAAATGAATTCAAAGCATGAAGGCAACTCGAACCGGCTGTTCGACTGACATTCTCTGAAATTTCAGGCGTTAACAGAAACTAGGATCTGCTACCCATATGTAGTGCTCGGTTAGATGGAAATTGACCCCTGAAGGGAGATGGACGAACACCAACCACATCTGAGCTGATAACTAAGTAGATTGGCTATTTAGAAGGCCTATTTCACCACAATTTAATTTCACAGAATTCAAGGAATTTAGGACACAGACTATCGTGATGCGCTCACAATTGTCAGAAGCCGAGAGCCAATCTGCATTTGACGCAGCTTCGCAGTGCAAAGAACAATCGTAGGGAGACGTGTTTAATGATGGTTCAGTCACTAGTTGAAAAGAAGTCAGGCCGGAAATAAGTTAAAAAAAAGGAACCCGGGTTACGCGACTTCATAACCTCTGATTAATTCAAAATACATCAAGCTTATTTGGATATTTCATCTATCGTGAGACAAACACTTTCCCGACTCTGTACTAGCCGAAACCTAGCTTCCCTTTCATTAATGCGAAGCAGTAAATAAAAAAGATTATTAGCTATAACACCCTTTCTGTGCCTAGCTCCCATGCCACCGGAGGGAAGCACGAGGGCTGGGATACTGCGAAGTTGCCCAAGCCTAGACAGGAGAAGTCAAGATGAAGAGGTCGGGTTCGAACCATGGACCTTCTGGTCAGTAAATTCGCACTCTAACCCCCCTATGCTAAGCACTGGTCCATATTCGACCATAGCTGATCACCCTATAGCAGATATGCGGTCTCTGAGGCACCAGTTGACTGAAAATACTGGATAGCTAGGTTGCCGATCGGGGCCAGCAAAGCTCGTGGTTTGCTACTCAGAGTTCTCAACTGAGATATCGTCCGTAAGTGAAGCCAACCTATGCTGAAAAGCCGAGAATTAGTTTACAACTGTTTCGTCCTTATTGGGAATCATCTGCAGTGCGCACCTCATGAGAATCCAGGGAGCTCCCGACCCAGGACCTCCTGGCTATTAGTTTGAACATTTAACCATTCGGCTACGACCGACTGTTGGGCAATGCAATTATCTCGCTTCATTCTTATCTACGCTGACTTCATGAAGTTTCTTCGAGTACCACATGTGGTTCTATAAAAGCCAGTTGCTATCATGCACACGCGTTTCTTAAATTTACTAGTATCGGTCGGGAAATCCGTTTTGATTGGAAGTCAATTTATTAGGCAGTGTGCGAGCTAGCCCTGATCACAAAACTCATTGAATCGGAATTCTTTTCATGCTCCCGAGCTTCCTAGACATGATGGATAGACGGATAAGTTCGGAAACAACCAAAGAAACAATGATTTGTAATGATAAAAGACGAAGACTTACTTGTGAATTAGAGAACGTAGCCCGCCAGTCACGAGCAGAAAGCCAGAAGTCTAAATGTTCCGAGCTGTACTCGGATGAAAGAAAAGCCTGAGGGAAGAAAGCAGATGGGGACCGAATAGTCAAACTTTTTTTCGAAATACAACAGTTAAACTCGAAAGAACATTGGTGGAGCAGTAACGAAATTGACTACAAAAGAAGGCTCTCCAGATAGAAAATAATAATAGAGAAAACACTTATTAGCAGACTAAAAGTTGTAGAACTGTGATGAAACATGTAAGAGAACATGCGTTAACAAAAACGGCAGTTCAACTATGTCAACCCAAGTCCTCGCCATCGACAGCGGTAAAACGCCAGTATATCGCTGCCGATTTGTTTGAAGAAATCCTTGATGTATGAATACTTTGGAAAAAGGGAAGGCGCGGGGGGTTGAACGGAATACAGGGGGTGCCTACACATCCAGCAACTGGAAATACTGGAGTTATTGACCTGGGTTTGCTATCCTATCTCCCAGCGCTTCGATCCAAACGCGAGGGAAGGCCACATAGATCTAACCCTGGAAGGTGAGCAGCACTCATAGCACCCAAGTTTTTCGCCCATTCTGATGAGAAATGTTCGCAAATAATTTACTACGGTGTCGCCAAAAAATTCTATGCAAGCTAACATGAGAAAAGGTTTAAACTACCTGCAGGCGAATGGTCTGCGCAAATAGGCGAAAAGCAAAGTTGTCACGCGGGATAGTAGGATGAGAAAAGGACTACCTGCAGGCGAATGGTCTGCGCAAATAGGCGAAAAGCAAAGTTGTCACGCGGGATAGTAGGATTGATTAAAAAACAAGCCAAGTAAGGTATCACACAATTGTGGTGAGTAGGAGTCTAAGTGAAGCAAAAGTATGTGACGCAGATATGGCTTGAGATAATGACTGAGGATGTTGAATAAAACTCGTTGAGTGAAGTTGACACAGGTGTCGGAAGGATTCCTTACTACGAAGTCAACCAAGACATTTTTTGCGACAGCACCACAGATGTGCTTTCAAGATCTAACAGATGGGTGATAATTTCGCCCTTTGAGCTCTGGGAAAAGGACAATGAGGAAGGATACAAAGAATGAACCTATGACAAAACTGTTCTGTTTCAGCATCAAAAGCTGGACCGAAACCTACCACGCCAATTTGATTGTGGTACATTCAATTTGTCTACCTGATGGAGTAACACCTAGCTACTTCACGGAAGGGGTTTTGGAAAGAGGGACAATGAGGACGAAGAGGAGTTGTGAGCTACTGAGTAGGCCGTAGACAGATGAGAGAAATACCCGTTAAGCTTTCGAGATATTGGTGGTGGGAAAGCGATCATCTGATCAGCAAACATATGCATTCATCATAGAATCTACAGAGGGGTTGAGGGACATGACAGCCGTAGTCAATCATCGTAACCAGCGTACTTGTATTTAGTAAGGGAAACAGACATGTTATTTTCGTACTGGAAGATGGAATGAGGAAAACTCCGTGGGACAATGTTGTTGTTAGTCGGTAATGATGAGAACGGTCGGCTATGCACGCATGTGAATGGTTTGCGGGTTGTGAAACATCGTTCAGCTGTGGCATCCTTTCGGTGCTTAGCTGCCATGCCACCCGAAGGTTGCACGAGGGCTAAGATACTGCCAGGTTGCTTAAGCCTGGACAGGGGAAGTCGAGAGGCAGAGGTCGGGTTCGAACCACGTACCTTTCGGTCAGTAAATCCGCCCTCTAACCAGTTGGACCATCTCACCCCGGGTTGTGAAATAGTCATCAAATGGTGTAACCAAGCCCTGCATAGGGTGACCGTCCTCCAGCAACCCTATCAAAAGCATCCGTGACGTCGATGGACAGCCAATGGTATCTTTTTCTAGCACTGAAGTGACTACGTAGACTGGACAGCAGCTGCTGTGAACCCGTTTGACGACATGCAAGCTGGTCAACGGAGGTTACCTATCAGTCGATTTAGCAGCTTGAGAAAAAAGCGATAGTTGCGATTGACTGGAAGAGTGTGGTTGCCTTACGGGTACAGACCTGTAGTTGACTTTTTTCAAAGGGTATATATACAATCGTTACTTTGGCGAGAGTGGCTGCGGGTACAGACTGGTAGTTGACTTTTTTCAAAGGGTATACAATCGTTACTTTGGCGAGAGTGGCTGCGAACGCATGAGCAACCAGAGCGACAGATGCTAGGGGCCACAAACTTCGCCCGACTCCATTTGCTGCAAGTGTTTATGCACTTTTTCTGATACTATGCTGCCAATGACAGTATGACCATTGGCGGGAATGAATGCAGTTAATGGGTTTGACGGGCAAAAATATGGCTAATTTTATCGCGGTAAAAGATAAAATGACACTCCTATGCTTCGTTGGACAGCTGCTTCGACGCTCACTGCAGTACACAGCAGATTTTGCTGCCAACAGCAGCACCCACGTAGTGGTCGGAGAGCACAGTTGCATGAGCTCTCCAACAACTACGCGTCCTCCTTTTTAGGCCTATTCCTATTCTGAAAATACAATTTAAGGATAATCACTAGAGGTTGTGGATAATTTTAGGTCTGATGGGAATATGTCTGATGAAGTAAGTGCAAGAATTTCAAAGGGTCGAATCACGTTTGCTAATTCGCGTCACTCATCGCCTCAAAAAGGCATATTACTGGATCCTAAGGGTCGCGTGAACCAGGCTACAGTAGGAGTAGTTTTGTCGTATAGCTGCGAGATATGGCCCCTGGAGACAGATGATGTAAGGCGTCTCCAGGTTTTCGTCCTGGAGACAGATGATGTAAGGCGTCTCCGGATTTTCGACCACCGATGCCTCAGAGACGTGGCTGGTTATGGATGGCGTCAGCGTGTGCTTAGAAAACGGATAGTTAGTTGTGCAGCAGTTCTATCGCGGAACACACCCAGCACTATCGACTACGATGGATCGGTCACATTCTACGCATGCCGAAACACCGTCTACAGAGACAAGTGCTATTCTCCGTGTCTCTTTCAGAATGGCTCAAACCGCGAGGTGGCAGAAGGGTTTGAAAAAGATCAATAAGAGTTTGAGTGTTATTGTTCCAGTATGCCTTCTAGGATGGGATCCTCATGATTCCACCTGCGACGGCTGGAGACACTGCAAGAAATGGCGGCTGGTCGATTTCAGTGGCGTTCGCACTGTTAGTTTCTTTCTAGATGGTCTGATTGAGCGCTTGGAGCACTTCAGAATATCGCATATAGATCAGCACTAGGTTCCCTCCCTCATCCACTCTTTTTCTCTTCTTTTAACTCCAGAGATTCAAATATAATTAGATGAACTTTTTGGTTGTATGGCAGTGAATCGTCAGTGTCAACACCAATGTTGCTGCCTCTGATGATGATGATGATGATCATGATGGCAAATAATCAGTCCACTAGCTACCGCTCCACCTGCTCATAATTGATATTAATTTTGCGACGCTAGTACCTGCATGCTGAAGTTCCATCGGAAAAAAAACTATGTAACCGATTTGTTTATACCTCTGTGCAGCCAAAGCATGCTCAAGGAACGCGTGTTGTTACCGATTTCTCAAACTGCGGCTGAATTCCATCTGCGACTGAGCATAAAGACAAGGAGCTTTAACAAGTGGAGCGTCCTTCGAAGAAGTAATAAAACACAAATTATATTCTACGTTGGATATGGGATGACCCATTGTGTATCCGTGGAAATAAATCAAAGATTTGGAGAGTACGGACAGTTTGAAGATCCCGTCACACATACAACTATCCGACTCCATCCACACCGTGGTACAGTATGTGCATGTGGGAACAATACACATAATTCTCATAACAACATGACAAGCAGCAGTCGAGCAAATGCATCAAATCAGGTGAAGGGTAGTCAACTGTTCGAAATCCTCCATAAAGATTGACCAGGAACCATAAAGAGGCTGTGGAACGGGATAGAATTCTGAGCGCAACAGAAATGAAGTGATAACTCTTTTCAACAGCCTACCACATCTGTTCTATCAGTTTGTACGTTGTGGCAATGAAAAAACACAGGAGGACGCTGAGGATGAGTTATAGCATATGGGGAAATACACGTCCATGCCAACGACTGCCACTCTCCCTGTGAAAGGAAAAGAAACCTCTAAGCTGTAACATCCTTTCGGTGCCTAACTGGCATGCTACCCGAAGGAAGCACGGAGGCTGGGATACTGTCAGGTTGCCCAAGCCTAGACAGGGGAAGTCGAGAGACAGAGGTCGGGTTCGAACAACGGCCCTTCCGGTCAGTAAATTCGCACTCTAACCACTTGGGCCACCTCGCCCCCTCCTGTGAAAAATACCAAAGCCATATGAGGGTGAGCAGAGGATCTGAAGTTGTAGATCCGTAATTTGCCCACTCATGGAAAAGGGTTTTGAAAACCCGTATTAGTCATCTTAGTCACACTTACGTGTTATTCTTGTCACTGTAACATTCGGTTGTGATTAGTGAATGACAATTCAGCTTGAAAATTACAAAATTACGGAAATACAATTCGCCTGATATCCTCGCACTAGAAGCGGCGCACTAGGGCCCTAAACCAATCGGATAGAGTTGGAACCTATCGGTCGTTCCGGTAACTAGGTATTAGTTAACTGCACAAACGTTCGGCAAAAGACAAATGGGTTGCAAGCGTGTGTAAGGGACAATGTCCTTAAAAAAATACCGATTTACTGACCATGTGATGCGTCATCGCCAGCTTAGAGAGATTTGGTCAGTAGCTTATCTGTCCCGGATACACTGAAATTCTTGATTGGGTGAACGTCTCTCATATTGTGTGAATCACCTCGTTTGATAACAACACGACCAATGTAGAAACTTATCACCGTTCACACAAACGCTTTTCATCAGAAGTGACGGGGGTATCCTGTAATGATTGATCGCATGACCCATATTTCGGATGTTGAACTTCACTGTGCAAATGTTTGCTAAGAAGCCTAGGGTCATTACACAACCGTTTTATCGCTAAGAAATTCAGAAGCAACGCATACCTATGGGACCCGAACGAGTCCGGAATAAAACATCTTCAGATTAGCGTCCTTAACCCACCTGTGGTTGAACAGGCGAGTGACAATCAAAAGAACAAAACCAAAAGGGATTACCCGAAAGCTTCTGATCGCCGCAGGGTCACTCAGGAAATAGTCGAAATCAAGAGATGGCGGGTCATAATTGCCACGTCCTAAATCTGTTGTGCTAGCCACTGAAGCCATCTCATGGTCTTCCGTGTACTCCTGAAGTCCGTCAAGGGATGCAGAATGTAAAAAGGAGGTTCGGAGTTGTTTTTGCGATGTAGGAGAAGGCAGCGATGCACGATGGACAAGTCGGGAAGTGCGTGCTGCATATGGAGATGCCTCCTGAAAATAAAGTAAAACAATAAAAACAGTCCGTGCGTTAACTAAAAAATAATCGCCACATATGACCGAGTAATTATGACGGTTCTCGCTGTCGCCATGTAAACGAAAGGACTAAACATGTATGCTACTACTTTGTGGACAGTGAGACCAATCGATCCTAGAAACTCGAATATTGCTAGTGGGACAGCACAGCAAGAGTGGTGAATAAGTGCAAGAAAAAAGTAGAAAAACAAGTACCACCAAGCTTGGATGACCCATGCACGAGTTTTATATTCAATCATACGGGAGACGACACTACATATACTTCCATGGAATAAACACAAAAACGAAAATCTCCACCCAATAGATAATCTTCCCATCGCAATTCTCACTCAAATAAACATTACCCGGAACTAAAAAGGAGGAACTTTCTCGTACATCAAATAGCCGTTTTACTTTCCAGGAGAATGTCTCACAATCCGAACGTCTTACACCGTTGACCAAGATTTACACAGCTGATAGACAAATCAGTCAAGGTGGAGGGCATTTTTTGCTTATTTCTTTAAAGTTCGGTTAGTAGGCCAGAAATTTTGCCCAGAAAAAGTTTGATTTTTAACTTATACTGGCTTACAGCCAGTTTAGGTAAGCCCACAAAATTGACGAGGCAATCCCTTTCCTTGGGTAACCGCTTTGACTACATCAACTGGTATTGACCCCTCACCTCCGTTTACCCTAGAGTACCTGATGAATTTAACCTCATCTGTGTTTCGACTCAAATTGGCTTAGCCGATAATCTACTCTTGGAACCGCATCATCATCATCATCATCATTAATGATGATGCCAATATGCAACAGGTATCAACGCTTAGTTCCACTAAATCTGGGGTCAAGGTTACTTACCTACTTGCCTTGACTTAACTTAACTTGCCTTAACTTAACTACTTGCCTATTGGAGACTTACTTGCATGACCTCAGTCAGCTTCTCTAACTACGTTCTTCGTCTTCAAACCACATCCATCAGAGTTAGTTCGAAGAAGCCCCTTCAACTGGTGTTGCAGGTGTGAACATTGTCCTACGCAAATGTACAATCGATACCCAGCAGTAGTAGATAGCATCAGCATCTTGCTAAGTGAATGGATATCGGAACACAACAAGCTGCCTTTTGATCGTATTTGCCTATGCACAGAATGATCACTTGGTCAATCGTTGACCGTTCGGTCAAAGATGACTTTCATGTCCATCCCGACGACTTGTTGAGAAGAAGTCTGAGGACCTACACAGATGAAGCTCTCAATGAAAGATTCGAGTAACTGACATCAAGTCTCAACATTAATCGAAACGAGAACCCCAAATACCGATTGGCTTCGAGTGCTGACCAGTATCTGTTTATGGCCTGCCCCAACTTCCGGCATCGTGAACTTTGCAACTTGGTGCCCCATAAGGCTCGTTGGAGTGGGACAAAGAATGACAGTATGGCTACCATGCATCGGTGGGAAGGTTCCGCCCAGTATTGCAGCTCCTGCTGAGACAAGTACTTGGACTCTGGTCACGCAACAGTGCATGTTATTGTACATGCATTTTTGTAGAAAAGGGAAAGCAAGCCTGCGAGAATAGTTGTTCACGCAATCAACCAACGTGGTAACTCAAAACTAGACTTTCAACGTTAAAGTCCACGTGCAAAGAAGTGCACCGGTAATCAATCGAACATGCTATCCAGGGACCAGCAACCAAAATCTGTGGTTCGCCCTGCCATACAATCACACCACGGATCTCCGGCAGTTCTACTGATCTAGCTGACTTCGAAGGACAAATCCAGTCATGAGAGACAAATGGTCAAGGGGTCTTAGGCAAAATCAAGGGGTAGGACGCAGTAGATATGCTCGAAAAATGGAACTTGTGAAGATAGGTGGTTCCGGTTGTCGTCTATTTGGCCTAATCAGATGAGCTGGCCATGAAGGAAGCATTGTCAGCGAAACCGACAGTGAAACGCACGAATGAAGTTCATTATAACCCCAGATGGCCATCCTTTTTCAGCTTCGTGACCGGCAACAACTTGATGAATACTCTATCGCGGATACATGGTGTGGGCATGGATCTACATCCACGGAGAAGAGTACGGGACCTGTACCATATCAATGATATAGAAGTTTGGGGAGATCTTAATGACACCCAAGTTGTCCTCGACAGTCTTACTTCGAAAGTCAATAGGTATGTTAGATAATTCTCATCCGTTAAATGAAAGGCTCTCGTGCAAAACTGGAACGTGTTGGTGCCCAGCACTACTCTTCTGGACGAACAACCTGAGGTCATGAGTTACTTCGCGCAATTACGACGTAACAGCTCTGCAAGCGGTGAGGAACCGTCAGAAGTTGTCTCTCAAATGAAGAAAAAATGGCGCTTACTAAATAGCGACATCAAAGAAGACGGCGGTGCATCGAATTACACTGAGAAGTTTGAGTGTACAACCCGCTGTTCCGATACATACTTTTGTATGGATACGAAAGCTGGCCATTAGGCGTAGATGTCTGCATTCGGCCATCGCTGTCTGCGAAACAGCTCGCGTTTATGGTCGTAGCAACGCATTAACAATGTGGAACTACTTCGGTGGGTCATGAGTGATTCGGGGAATACGAAATTTAAACGCGCCGTAGAACTACATCGACCCCATTGGTCCAGTCGCGTCCCAGGTTCAAAGTAGAAAGGACTATGAAGACGGATATTGTTCGTCTTATCAGGTCAAGGTTGAAAGAAGCATTGCCAGAGTCGTTCTTTGATATGAAGCTGAAAAATGAAAGACCGTACTATCAGAATGGCTTCGTTTGGGTCGCCTCCGCAGCCTGGTCGGGTAGTTCCTTATTCAGATGTGAGATACCAGATGAGAAAATATCACCTTGTTACTTCGAATAACTACAGCATCCAACCCAGATGACATTGAAAAATTCAAATGTAATATGACGACCCCATTCTAGAAAGTATGAGATGCGGTTCTTATTGGTTACCTTGTCACTAGGAGACACCCTGTGAAGAGGGGACATTCCTGAATTCCCTAACTTGCTTCTTCGAGAATGAGGTCCTGTATTCGCTATACTAAACCAGACGAGATGGGTCATCAAAGGCTGGTTGGGCTCAATCAAGAGGCCAACTTTCGCTTATGAAAGTGTGACAGTTGATTACCGTTTTGCAGGTTTGTGAGATATACCAGATAATTACTGACTACTGAGAACGAAGGTGCGTGAGGACGCGCTTTGCGGACTGATCCGCCCCAGGTGCTGCAAGACGAGGGAAGCGTGCAGTTCTAACATGGAAACGTGTGGCGAAGATTTACTACAGTCTGAAATGACATCACGTATTATTTGCAAAAAGACACCATTAACTATTCTCTTCTCCCTTTTCGACAGTCAAGCGTAGGAGACCCATCCTGGTCAATCGTATCGTGCAAAAAATTAGTGTTTTTATTTGAGTGCGCCAACGGAAAGTTTAATCCACCTAGACGGGTAAGCGTAGATGTATCCATATTCCATGCCGCTTGGCGTTTTTGAGTTCCATAGGAAACGGTTTGTAGAACTATCCAAACACGAACTACAAACAAACGAGCCTCCTGTTTTGAGCAGACAGACCTAGCGCTTGTGGTGAAATCAATTATCATGTGTGCTATGCGTCACTGAGCATGTTGAAGCGGTACTGGTAGACTGTGTGTTCATGATGGGTCGCGCAAAACTCGCACACGCATGAAACACTACCTATGTGATCGCGAAGTCGACATTGTGGTCATGTCTTATCAAGAGCCAAAACCCATTGACTGCTAAGGGTCGTCCAGGTCCAGTCCAAGCATCTGCAGTATTTATGATCCACTGAATAGAATTTATGCAAAGTGCGTTTCACATATCCGCACCAGCGTACAGTTTGTGGTGCTAGTTGACATGTTATTCCTAACCTCGGGAAAAGGGGCAACTGACTGGATATCTGGTAGTTAGATTTCGACGGACTATCGGCAGGTGATTGGTACGACCAACTAGCAAACTGGGTAGATTAGTGGCTCAAGTTGGAAAGAACTGATTTTCCGTTGATCTTTCTCGCTCAAGTGTTAAGAGTGACAAGTGAGTGTAACTCGATAACCAAATGTCATAGTAAAAAAACTGGTGCCGGAGCACCAGACTACTTCGAGTGACAGTTTAACTGACCTGAACCACCGATCCCCGTCGATCGAACCACCGTTCTCGTAGACGACACGCAGCTCTAGATAGTTTGTGAAGTATATGACTGGCAGAGGTCCTGGAGACTGTGGCCGGTCGTTTGAAGGTAGGTGTCTGAAGAGTAAACAAGAAGAAATGGTGCACGGTTCAATATACTGAGATGGAAGCAACAAGGCAGCCCAAAAATTAATCGATAATCGCCGCTTGCTGTAGGGTGGAAAAAACGACAGCTATGAAGGACAGCTGCAACCATGAAAACTTGAGCGGAGGGGCGACAGAAAAGCCTGCCGGAAAGTCAAACACTCGTGTATCGTTTTGATCCCATACTGTACAAGCATTTCGAGCGACGCTGCTCAATACGAACACCAAGTGCTTTATTCTAACTTTGAAGGACGACTGGGGTAGTCAATCGCAGTATACAAAAAGAGTGGTCCAATAGAATCTGAGTTGGAGGTAATGCCATTTAAGATTTATACTGTAGACGGAAGCAATAAGTACCGCCGGAAGACGAGAAAAGACGACACGTATATGTCCAATAGAAATGTGTTGATGCAACCCCAAGTAATTCGCCCTAAGTCGAGTACAGAACCTTATGAACTCCCTTTAACCGGATGCCGAATAAGGATCGATTGGGTCATTTTCATGTACAATTGGTGGCTCATGACTTCCACATCCAGTGAGAACATAATGTATGTGACGAATGGATCACACTGCTCATGAGTCGCAACTAGCGATAATCCAAGTCAAGCATCAGTTAGACAACACAGAACTCCTCACCAAAGCACGGTGGCGGTTACCGGTTGTTAGGCTAGTTGATATATTTAACTGAATTCACAAATTTTAACGACGACCTAGTTGTTGCTTAAAACTACATACGGACGGAGAGCCATTTATTTCAGTATCTAGACTAAACAATCTGAAAGTAGCGTGGCTCTCATAAGTCCTGCGGATTGCATGACAAACACCATTGACGTCGTTGCTGATGATGATAACTGTTTTATTGTAAAGTGCAGAGTGATAAAAACTATACTCGTGGCATTATTTTAAAGAATTTTATATGGGGCCTCCCTGACCAAACCTTAGGTAGCCAGCTCCAAAATAAAAGCAGTGAATATCTTGGAGGCGGAAAATGTGCTGCGCCCTTCGTAGCAGAGTAGGTATGGGACGAAAACGACCGAGTAGTACGACGAATTACAAGGGGTAGCACTCAAATGCTAGTCTGATTATTGATACTGACCATTGTATAACTTTAGCATAAGCCAGATTGGAACTAGCGTATCATCGATCAAAGAAAGTCAATTATTCTAGTTCAACTTTGACTATAAGACCACCGAGTCATCTCACCTCATCTTGTGTGAATAAGGGATTTAAGCTCGCTTAGCAAGATTTTGAAAAATGAGAGAAACGAACTGATCACCTTGGGGAGAAAATTGGAGTTTTTCTTACTACTTCGTGTGGAAAAGAAAACTTAGGATTTTTGTACGCCAAATACAAACTGCCCTTCAAGTTGACAGCGTTCAAACCTTGGTAAAAACCTACTATTTAACGAAACATGACCGAAACATGAGACTTGGCAGTGCTCAAAGGCGTATAGCCCTGACAAGTCTTTTTAGGGTCCTGTACCCCGCTGCTATTGCCCAAACAGAGCAATACAATACAAAAAACATCTGATGTTCTTGTGTACAACTACCCGAAGCTTAATTTCAGTGCGATCAGACTTACTCGACGCGGCAGTTATCAATCAACGAAACCAGTAGTCCATGAACTCTCAAGGTATCCGCAGTTCACTGTAATGTTTCCGAACAGTCTCACTCTTAATCGCCAAAGCTCCTACCTCGGAAGAATTTAAACCTGAAGTATTTGGGGTAATTGTGGTCAAGAACGTGGGCTCGGAATGGTTCGACAGCAGACGTGGAGCATTAAATTATAGTTTGGTCGACGAAGCACTTTCATGGGATAAACATGGGCATAGTGCAGCAGAAGTAAACTAGCTAAACTCTATAGTGCGTTCTAAACTCATTCAATGATGCCGCTTCTCTCAAATTGCAGCATAGAATCAGACGATTTCAAATGGAAGCATAACTGTCACATTTACTGTTGCTGTGATGGGAGGATTTATGGACCTGATTATCTCATCTTGTCATCAATTGTGGGAGTTATTTGCTCAACTTTCCATTTGCCTAATGCCCTGCGCAATTAACGGAGGACCATTTCCGTGAATTTATCATCCGTTTGAGTAGTTTATTGTTGTCAAGATCTGCAAAGATATCAGGCTTGCACTGAAATCCTTTGTGAACCAGTGCGTTCATAATAGGGCCATGTAGTATGGTGTCACTTTGTCACAGATGCAGAAAAACGACTATTGCAGAATTTTATGTGGCGCAACCTGGGGTGAGTACGCTCGGTATGCCATTGAAACGAAACCAGCGAGCAGATTTGGAAGAAATCCGGGATGCACAAGGTGAACATTACGAGAAGAAAAATCGTGATCAATCAGGTCGATAGCCTGTTTGCAAGAGTTTTTTCAAATGGGGAGTCCAACAACAGACTGTTCATGTGTACGGTGTGAAGCTTGATAAACGATGCCTATTTACACAACTGTCAGTAAATCCTCCACAAGATTCACCAGTTGTAGACTGTCCTCAACTCCAGAGTCTCGAGAACGAACTGAAAAGAACAACGGTCGGGGGTGGCGTTGTAGCACACTGTCTGACACGTACAAAATGAGAGAACTAACTCACAACCACTGGTAGCTGTGGCGTCGTTACCCCAACGTCGCTGAAAGAATCACGACCAGCAATTAGCCTTGTATTCCTCTGTCGAAAACCACATGTTGAAGCTGCCTGCATCGCAACAAACTTTGATCGGCACTGGTTCGCGGGAGTTTCCATTAGGTTGGCGAAGCCTTTCATAGGGAGGTCGATAATGTGGCGAAGAATCCTTACGACTGTTTCAGCGTTCCTAGGAAACTCCGCACAAACCCCAGTCAATCGGTCACGATGGCAAGTGAGCTGGAACTGATTGACAATATCTGTGTGACTGCGGTGACCCAGAAGACTTGGTGGGAGACATCGGAATAGGAAACAAGAAAAGCTGGTACCACCTGAAAAACCAATGCAGTTAGGTAAGGTAAACTGTGATAGCAGAACGTCAGAATAATATTGTTTTTCCGTACCAATATATCACACTTCAAGTAAAACCAGACAGAAAAAACACCCGGTCGTAACTGTTTGGAGCTTACTCGTCACTTATGGTTTCGGAATGCCTTGCAGATAAAGCATATATGGATCAAACGCTTGGCCTGAGAAATACAGCAGTTACGTTAATTTTGCCAGGAACAGCTAACAGTTGGAGACATCCAAACACGAGAAAGCTCGAAGAATCAACAGGAACGTGGCGGGATTGCAGCTTCCAGATAACTGTACCTTATGCGGTGCACCCAAAGTTCTGAAGAAAAAGTATTCCGGGTTTGCCGCAGCGTCATTTGTTGCTTATAGAAGATTGTTACAGGGACGTACCTAGTGGTCATATTGTCCAAAAGGTACAGTACTCTGAAGAATTCACGCGCTGAAAAGGCTAACTGGCGACGAAGGAACCCCTCAGTCCATGCTAAGGCTTGAAACCTCGGCAAACCAAAAATACCAAGCAACAACAAAGCCAAAACTTCATGGTTTTCAAGGTGTACGAAAGGGTCAAACGAAGCAAAGTAAATCTCCCTCAAGTCTTCAAAACTTTCTAGGTGGCAGACTGAACTCGACTGCTCATGAACGGGAAAACCAACAGTACGCAAATTCGTTGCGCAGAACACACCTATAATAAAAACTGTTTGGGTTGGGAAAAGAGACAACAGGGCAAGATAGCAGAATAGCTAAGTAGACGATGTATTCTTCACTCAAAGTAAAAAACATTCCAAAGTGAGAACCAACCTGATCCACCATCGGCGGGGCATCGAAAGTCGGGTGCACGCATAATCATGTAGAAAAACCGACGGTCGTCATCCAGTACCGTTGCGTCAATAAGGTCACTGCCGGAATAGCGCAAAATCTTGGAAGTAAATCTGATAAGTAGACGGTCATATATGGCTTCAAAAAGGGCAATGTTTGTTAATTTAATCCCTTCGATCTGTTTTTGATCAGCTTTTTGTTTCAAAGGCAACAGTTTTCTAGTTAGGTTGGTCTGAGATATCACAATCTGATGAGCGATTGAGAGCTTGCCAACGTATTGAACTATCGCTGCCAGCTTATCCTCCGGTAAAACCATACCTCCAGATGTACAAGGATTCGGTATTTCTATTACCGACCGAGACGAAACTAAAAGATAAACCTTGTTTGGAACTCGACAAACCTACGTTCGGCACAACCAGGGACTTGCAGTTCATCGTGTATGGGAAGGAACTATGATCCAGTAAATCGATACAAATAGAACCTACTTCAAGCTCAATGGGCGATGAGGAAGACTCGATGAGTGAAAGTAACTGTTGATGTGACAACCGAGATACGTCAATACCGTTGACTGATAACAAAATGTCACCACAACGGATATGCTTCAATTCAGCCAAAGAGTGAGGTTTTACCCTTGAAACCACATAGGGTAATTCACTTCCGAGTTCAAATCCATAGCCTGAACTGTTTTTGTGTAACAACAGACGTCGAGTTTTTAACATCCCTATCTGAAATGGAGAGAACAGTGTTGTAAAACCATCTACATAATGTGTTTAGTTGGGTTGTTCGATAAGCCTTAGGAAGTTCAACAGGAGAAAAGTGAACAGAACGCTGCTTTTGTATGGACAAGTGACATTTGGCAGCAAAAGCACTTCAAAATACAAGCCTCATAGTTTCATAAACTGTCTCACGGATCAATAGCTTCGTGATGTGGCTACTGAGCTACATCGAACTATGTTGAATTTACGAAATGATTGGCAGTGGTATACTGTTTGTTGCATCACTCTTGAATCTAACTAACCATTCCCCATTTCGTATTTTGGCTCGTAGGTGCCACCAATTGAGTGAAGCATTGATCACCACCCTGAATTCAACCTTAGTTTTGCACTTAACTGGAGTACTATTTAAAGACAATAAAATTATTCAACTCAAGTGTTTCGGTATCGATCCCGACACGACTGACGCACCCAAACGATAGAATTACTAGTTTTCCATGCCCAGCATCCACCCAAAGACATCGAATCACCGAAACCGGATAGCCTTCACGCACTCATTCACTTCATCAACCCTTTCATGTATGATCATATCAATTGTGTTATGAATGACTATAACTCAGCCACACTGCTGCTAAAAAGGATCTATGCCCGACCGGAAAGCGTGGTATATGCTCGACATTCTCTCACTGTCTGCAAACAGAAAGGCGGGAAAGAAGTAGAACGGTTTGCGCAGAGACCCAAGTTTTTGTCTAAAAGATTGTGAATTCAAAGCCGTTGTGGCTAGTGAACATAACGTGGGATTTACGTGAGACGCCATAATCAGCAGGCCCCCATCGAGACACTGGGAAACAACTTCTTGCGCAACACCAGCCGAGTCCTGATGAAGCGCACGTCTCACACCGATACAACAAAATATCCCGTACTGTAGCCTGGTGCTGCAGTGAGGCATCAGTATCAATAATGATGTTGCTGTCTTTGATGATGGTGATGATGACACACGCCCCTTGAGATTGAGGGATAAAACACCTTACCCTGCCAATACCAAACGCAACCCGGGTCTTGTGTATTGACCTCATCTGCTACATTACAGTTGGAACTAATACAAATCCCAAGATATGTAAAAGTCCCCACGAATTAGAATACGTCTCCTTGGATTGTTGGTAGCCTGTTCGGTGACTGCATATCTCCAAGCACGACTCCGAACTTCGTGGATATAAAGTGGATGCAAAACGATGTAGTGAATTTGGTCAGTCTATCCAAAAAACACCTGCACTCTTTCCTCTTCGAAGACAAGAACTATTAGGAGGACCAGCTCCGAACGTAACGGGACTACATAACTGCCAATGGAATAACCGTTTTTCGTCTAGACAGATTTCGCTGATTGTTCTTCACTTGCCCCTGACAGATGAGTTGTATTCTTAGTATCACTTTTGACCGCCTGTACGCGACAGTGATCAATAGAACATCTGGCTCGCACGCTCATTGACTTTTCCGGTTTAGCCAAGCGCACCAGGCGATCAAGCGACTATCCAGACCGGGGTTCACGGTAATAAGAAGGTATTAAGGGACTGGTCCACAACAAGAACCATGGCGTCTGTATATTTCAGAACAAGGTCCTCGTCAGAAGCTATCCGAATACCAGGGTTTCTAAGGCCTTCAGGCGTTCGTCTAATAATCTCATCTTAAGTAGGAACGGAGATAGTGGGCACCCCTGACTGACACTACTTTGTGCATGGAAGCATTGGAGATCTATGGGAAGCTTTCAGTGTACTCAAGAACACAGAAGTCTGAGAATACAAAGAATGAACAAACTTTCGTTGCTGAGGTGTGTTGAGAAGAATAGACCGATCAACCGGGTCAAAATGCTCCTTGGAAATCCAGGAGCACCAAACTTCTGGGTCTTTCATACGTATGGCATAGTTCTAGCACCTGACGTGGTGTGAAGAATTGAGTAATACAACTCCTACCAGGACGTAATTCCGTGGTTCTGCTTTCCAGTCACTTTTGATGAGCCACTATAAAGCGAGGAAGGACAAGTGATGCCAATAGCCTCGTTACAACTGATCCCCCAGCGATTACCGCATTCACTACGTGCCCCTGTTTTGAAAATGGGCACTACTACAGATTCTCCACAGTTGTCTGGGGATGTGTCCTTCTCCGAAATGTAGGTAAACGGACCAGACAAGCGCTGACTGAGTTCGCGCCCATATCTGAAGAATACAGATTGGAGATCATCCGAACCAGGAGATTGAGAGAACATGTGTAGCCATAAACCTCCGAGGCCGTAAGGGTACCAGGTTCACAGTTCACGGTTCTATTTCAGCTGTAGAATGCAAATGGGTGGCAGCGAGAATTACCATGTTAAGTATTCGGCCCAGTTGTCAAGGAATTCTAGTTTATTCGGGACGGTTGGGTCAATGTGATCCATGATGGTTTCGCTCACAGGTTTTCGGAGACCGGTAGCACGAATCAACTGAAATAACCTTTAGGCATTCCCAGTTTTCTGAATCCCCTCCACTTCCTTAGCCTTGCGTGTTCATCACGCCTCACGGTCGGCGTACATGCTCACTTTCACTTTATGTCTGACAATTAGACAGGCCAAATTATGTTCGGGACTGGCAGGAACATTTCTCGGACATTCAAGCGGTGCCACTGTTCTGTTTGGTAACCAGTGCTTGAGAGGGCCTGACAGCACTGTGGCACAGGCAAAACTTTCAGCGATGCACTTGGAGCTCGCGCCCCCGTTCTAGCATGAACTTACATCTGATGGTGGAGTATCTGAAAGAGGTTCCAGGAGATGATTCTGATAAATTCGTCCGGGTCTCCCAATTTCTCAGTTGCTAAGCGATTTACCCGCACCTTACGCGGCCCTGAAAAATGAAAGGAGAGGTGACTTCGGAAGAGTGCTTTTGGCTCGCGCAACAAGGCATTCAGGGCGTCAAAAGTTTTTCTTTGTTGGCATAAGAATTACAGCCGGTTCGAACACACGGACATCGATCAGTCCCGCTTGTGGGACTGCTTTATAGACCTCGTCAGACAAACCTCATAGAGGCGACTATCAAAGGGTATGCGGTCAAGCGAGCATTTTTTTACCCGGTCAATTAGGACGATACCAGCCCCTGCACAGCCTGCTGCATCAGCCTCTGGACTGCCAGAGGTGCGCAATCGGAAACGAGTGAAGGGTGATGAGGCGATAAGCCCAACCCCTGTGCTTGAATTTTGAATTCTTGTATCTGATACACAGCATACATCTATGTCAAGCGAGTACAGTACGAGAGGAAGAGCAGCTTGTTTCAAAGTGCGGACATTAAAAGCCAGATGGACTGGGCGCCGAGGTGTGGAGATGGATTTCGAGATAGCTGAGGATGTCAGCCGCGGATGACGCGCAAACCATGCTTGCGAAACATATCCAGGACGAACGGAGTCATCAGTCCTAATTGACAGGCCTACAGGGAGAGTTATCAGTGGGGTAGAGGAAGGGAAAGAAAGTATGGGAAAGATAATGAAAGCGTCAGCATCAGCTTGCTTACAGTTATCTGTCCTGCTTGTGTGCGGTAGGCAGCTGATGTTGTAGAAGATTGTTTGTAGGTTTGCAATTCATGGTTGTATGTAGGCTGTAATACTTCCTGGATGCCCACATCTAGTCAGAGTACCCGACCAGATCCTTTGGATCAAAAGCCTGACCGCCAGATAACGGTGCTTGGGGGAAAATGCAGGTGAATTACCATTTTTACAGAACAAGTCGCCACACGTTCCAACCCCAAACCCGAGTGGCCAGGAGACCGTGTAGGTCAGAACTCTAACCATTGACCCACCGGCCACAAAAACCGTGACACCACGGTAAGGTCCCATCTCTACCGTTAATCATCGTTTTGAATCCTTTAAGTACGAACACGCTGTGAAAACTTTGAACTCCTGGCGGTACCGAACTTAGGTGTAGATGTACCACTTACACAAAGCTTCTTAACCTCACATGAGAAACTCAAGATCCCGTTCAGCGGACAACGAAGTAACTCCTTCCTCTGTGAACTGAAAACCAGAAAAATCAGATCACTACCACCTGTGTCCAGGCTACACAGTGGTTGCGACCACATCGCAACGTCATACCGCCGATGACAAACACTCCATACGCAATTTCGGCGTCCCATGGAGGGCACTGAGAACATAAATGGCAAAAGGCTCACGATGAATGATAACAGTCAATTTGGTCCGTAGCCCGCATGTCACATTCGTTCAATCAGCGTGATGACCGCTTGTTAAGAGTGGCCTCCGGACAGGGTGTGTCCAGAAAACCTGAAGTTGATAGGGGTGTCGGTTTGTTTTGCAAGTTACTGATTTTTGTGTGCTTATTCTTATACTTACCACATATACTCGTACTGAACTTTTGTATGTACATTTCAGCTCATGTACACTACACTT